AAAAAGAATAAGAAAAAACATAGTATATGTAGGGTTTGATGCTATCCACGGTTTCAGGCATCCACTGGGGATCTTGAAATATATCTCCCGCAGATAAGGGGGGACTACTGTATGCCAAAGCAACACACTGTACATGCTATTTTGCTACCCCAAGTTTCATTCAACCGTGTGTTATCATCTCCTTTAACTATATAGAGTTAGAACTTGATTTTCAATGGCTTCAGAGCATTTGACTGTATGGATGTATTATAATTTCTTTAACTTATCATCAATTGATATATCAAATGATATATCATCAATTTCAGTTGTTTCACTCACTTTTAAGGTCTATTCACTGGAATTAACTTCCATACAGCTAAATCTTTGTGCACATCCATAATTACTCAGCATATGATTGTATAAAAATGAAGTCTGGTGTACGTTCTTCTACTATTTAAACTAGACTACAAAATGCAGCACATTGGCTTTTCTGAAGATGATTAAAATGGTTCTAGTTAACTTTTTGAGTTAATATTTACCTATTTTCAGAAATTAATTCTAATGTGTAATTAACCATATTTATAAAATTTCCAGCAAGATAGCACAGAGATATTAAACAAAAACATTCCACTCTTGTCTCCCTCTTCCTCTCTAACATCTTATTATGAGTTTTTAGATCCTTTGTTTGCTCTGGTCAAACCAAATAGTTCTCCGGGGGCAAAGTCCCCTGATCCATAAGCTCCTTGCGGTATCACTTGGTCACTGTCCTCTTGAGCTTATTAGCTTTACTTTTCTTATGGCGGGATTTAATATAGCACTTTCTGCTGGAGAACACAGGAGAATCTCAGACTCCTTGAAGATGTTGTTCTCTTTATACAGGTAAAATGGAAAGATGAAAATAAATTTAACGATACAAACAGCAATTTTAGTTTCAGACATGATTTTGTTGTTGGAATTGCTATCAATATGAGTCATATCCTCATGTGCATGAGTGTTTTCCTAAAGCAAAGTAGATAGTGTCCAGGATAAGCAAATGAATAGTACAGAATAATTGTGAAAAAGTTTATTGAGGTATTTGAAAAAGTAAACTTGACTTTTAGCTAGAATCACATTGTACCTAGGGTAATGTGAAAGACATTAGAAAAAATCAAAGGGTTTGTAATATTTTGGATTCAGCATAGGTTGCAATTAATCACTCTGTTCCCGATACTGATTAAGTGAATGATTCTCACCCTCTGCCACTTGATAAACAGGCAAGAAAAATGATGACACACGAAAATATAAGAAAACAAGGGTAATTGTATTTTTCTCTCCATTAGCTTTTCAAAACAGATGAGTATAAACTGACGATCTTCTGTGAAAAGGGAAACAAATTTATTAGGAACTTGTCAAGTTTACAAGATGGAAAAGGATTTCATAGACATCTCCATGGAAATAAATGGCATGGAGACCAGAAAATCCAAAGCTGAATAAATAATTTCCAGAGTATAGTGCCATTTTAAAATATGATGTGAAAAAAAAAAAAAACATAAAACTACCATGAGATCAAACTAGTTTTCCTGGTCTCTTTGTGGTTTAGAATTAGAGTGGTTTGTATTAATTTTAGCTCTAAGTTTTAAGTAGAATGAATAAAGGTTTTGAGAAGGCTGACAAATGAGAATTTTTTTGGATGGAAGGGAGTAAGTGAGAAAGAGGTCTTAAGAGGAAATATAAAACCTATGGAGTTTTGTGAATGCTGCAAACAGAAAGCTAAGGGGTGACTTAATATGTTGCATTTAGGTACATAGAAGTTTATTTGAAAAGAGCACAGAATTTTCCATATTTCCTTCAGTTATAAAAAGTAAAAGTAGAAGTGGTCTTAAATTAGAGGAGGCAGGATTTTTCTTGGGCATAAAGAAAGTTTTGTGACAATTTAAAAGATAAAAATGTAGAAAGTTTGAGCTGAGGGAGATGTTAAACTCAAAATATTTTTAAATTGAAGAAGACATTTATTTGGACGATATGTTTGGTTAGTACCTTGTTCAAACCTCACAGTTGTCTGTAGATCCCTTTCAACTTGTTGACTCTGTTATTTGGAACCTCAGTAACCAATATTTCCTTCATCTATAAAGGAGTAAATGTGTGGGAATCTGTTTGGAGGATTACTCACTTCCATATGGATCAAGAGAAAGGATTAATCACAACAGAAGGCAAAGAGTTGGCCTTGTATTTTGCATCCTAGATATTTAATTAGTTAAAAAATTATTGGTATAATTAATATACTTAGCAAAAATTATTTCAAAGGACAGCCAATCTATAAGAGAAGATGATTTCAGAGCACCATCATTCAGGAGTTTTTCTCTATGGGTATTTGATGACTTTTAGGTGAATAGACATCATATCCTTGTGAGCCCATTTAGAAACCTGTCTCTGACTTTTGCTCTGGACTAAGATTTGAGTCCTGACTCTGTCTCGTGACTTTAACACTGTGATGACCCAAACTTTTCAACTTTCTGTATTCCCTGATATTTGAATGGGTATGCTCTCATCCTTTTAGTACATCTACGTTCCATTTTTATATCTGGTTCCGCTTTAAGCTAACTTTTCCTAAAATTCACAGTTCTTATTTAGTTGATGGGGAGTAGAGAGCCAAAAGGCAAATAAATTCAGAGCGTATGTGCATAACTGGTAAAGGCTTACTGAGAAACTCTGCCAAGAGCCTTAGCACTTAAAAGACACCTGGAGATATAATACTGTAACTTGTTTATAATTATAGAATTTCTGAAGAGTTGATCCAAAAAGTTATGCAAATCATACCTCGTAAACTACCTTTACTTTATTTAGAGTAAGCTTTCTTCTTTTTTTGTCATTATACACATACTTTCCTAATTTCATTTTTCTTTTTAGATTTTCCTTTTAATCTTAGTTATTTCTTCTTTTTGTCTAATTCTTCTTCACTTTTATAATCCCTTATCTTTTATCTTTCTTTGTCACTTAGAAATTATGCACAATCTTTTACCCATCTTCCTTAATTATATAATAAGGCATATTTCCATGTATTTTTTAATAATTCAAATTCGTGCTCCTTTATCTTTCAGAAACTATTATTTCCTGAAATATTTACATATCCCTATTATGTACCTGGTGTGATTCTAAGTCGTGGGATACATTGGATAACAAGACAGATGTTGTCCTTAACTTTATGGGAGTTGCAGTCTCATTGGGAAGGAGAACAAACAAAGAATCAGCGACTTACATTTGTTGTAAGTACTACAAAGAAATATGATGTTTTTCTGAGAGCAAATATATTCAACCTGCAGTAAATGGCTTTTATTTTAATCACTAAAAGAATATCACTATTGTGATCTCCTACTATTATGTACAAGGAGATACTCATAACATATTATTGAATTATCTTTTAGACATGGAATTTTGATGCTCTCTTCTGGCCAATACCATTTTATGTTGTTATTCATTCTCTTATCTCATGTGTTGATCACTATTATGGACAAGTGAGAGAAAGGGAAGTAAAATTAACATTTACTGCATATTTATACATTAATAGCTACACACTGAATACACAATTGTAAAACTTTATTTTATCCCTTCTACTTACTCTGAGAAGTTAGTATTATTAGCTGCAATTTCATAGATAAACTGAAGTTCAAGAATTTAAGTAACTTGATCAATATCAACTTGTCAGTGGCTCAACCACACCGAAATAAAGCTAAAATTACAAGATAATGTGATAAGTCCTTACACAGAAATTTGAACAAAATGCTTTTCACTACACCATGACGCATGTCATATTTTTAAGCTTCTCAGAGCATGTGTTAAGTACTCTAGGGCAGTGTTTCTCAGATTATCTTTGGTGAAGAAACGACGTTTTTCCAATCCTTCATGGACTGATACTTTAGTAAATACAAACTCATATACTTGGGTTTTGCTGTGATGCAAAATTGCTGGAGAAGTTTCTAAATGCTAACTCTCAATTTCTGCATGTAACATGACGCAAACCGGTAACAGACAATTCATGGACCTGCACCTCTGTGTGGACCACTTTTTCATTGCTTCAGGGAATCCAAATATGAATAAGTCATAATCCCTGCCTTCCAGAAGCTTACAGTCTGCTTGGTGAGTTAGAACTGTACTCGGTGTACTAAAATACAAGAGATAGTAAAATAAATGCTAGTAATATAAAGAAAGACCTCAGAGATACGGTTGAAATTTAATAAATCTTGAAGATAAATATGTTCCGGAGATAGGGAGTCAGGAGGACGTGTCTGTTTGCCAGAATAAGGCTTGTAGTCTTGGAAGTGGGTAGAATAGTTGAGAAATGGTGAAGAGTTTTGTGTGACTGGAGCCAGGTGGTATTAGTGTAGAACCAAAACTCAAAAGAATTTTGGGTTGAATTCCTATTACCCATGTTGACCAATTTTGTACCTCATGAAGAACAGCATAGCATCTACCCTGGGAGGAAGCAGAGAGGTATTATTAATTGCAGAGAAAGCATGCTGGTTATGCTAGTAATAATAAATGCTAGTAATAATAAAGTAAGACTTCATAGAGGTGGTAAACATTTAAGAAATGTTTAAGATGAATATGTTCCCAGAGGTAGGGACTGAGAAAGAAGAGAAGAAGGGTCTGTCTGCCAGATGAAGGTTTACAGGCTTGGAAGTGTTTGTAATAGTGATTAGTTCTATGTGACTGGGGCCAGGTCATATTAGTTTTGAATGAAAAATCAAAAGGTTTGTGGTTGAATTCCTGTTACTCATGTTAACCATCTTGTATCTCACAAGTAGGGTCACGGCATCAATCCTGGGAGGAAGCAGAGGGTATTAAATGCAGAGACAACTTGGTGTGAGAGAACAACTCCACATGACAGCCACCCATTTCTCTGTGATCCCATTTCAGAGGCCATGAATGTATTAGGTCATTCTTAATGCTAAAGTAGAAATAGGTTTTCATAACTTTGACCTCTCTCCTAGTTATTAAATTATTATGATAATTTACTTTTTCAGGTAGAAATACTGACAAAGCCAATGGATCGAGCAAATCACTCTGTGGTGTCAGAGTTTGTGTTCCTGGGACTCACCAATTCCTGGGAGATCCAACTTCTCCTCTTTGTGTTCTCCTCCACGTTTTATGTGGCAAGCATGATGGGAAACTCCCTCATTATGCTCACTGTGATTTCTGACCCTCACTTACACTCCCCCATGTACTTTCTGTTGGCCAACCTTTCCTTCATCGACATGGGAGTTTCCTCTGTCACTTCTCCCAAGATGATTTATGACCTATTCAGAAAGCATAAAGTCATCTCCTTTAGTGGCTGCATCACTCAAATCTTCTTCATCCATGTCATTGGTGGTGTGGAGATGGTTCTGCTCATACCCATGGCCTTTGACAGATATGTTGCCATATGTAAGCCCCTCCACTATCTGACCATCCTGAGCCCAAGAATGTGCATCTTCTTTTCAGTGGCTGCCTGGATGACTGGCCTTATCCACTCCGTGGTTCAATTGGCTTTTGTGGTAAACTTACCCTTCTGTGGTCCTAATGTGTTGGACAGCTTTTACTGCGACCTTCCTCGGTTCATCAAACTTGCCTGCACAGACACCAACCGACTAGAGTTCATGGTCACAGCCAACAGTGGGTTCATCTCTGTTGGCTCCTTCTTCATACTGATCATCTCCTATATTGTCATCATTCTCACTGTTTATAAACACTCTTCAATTGGTTCATCCAAGGCTCTGTCTACACTGTCAGCTCACATCACTGTGGTAGTCCTGTTCTTTGGTCCTTTGATATTTGTCTATACATGGCCATCTCCCTATATACACCTAGATAAGTTCCTGGCCATCTTTGATACAGTTCTTGCTCCTTTCCTGAATTCTGTCATTTATACATTCAGGAATCAAGAAATGAAGGTGGCAATGAGGAGAGTGTGCAGACAGCTAGTGAATTACAGGAAGATCTGTTACGTGTGCCTGTATCATGAAGAACCTTTATTGATTATTGAAGTTCATTATTGATGGTGAAACTCTGAAACTTTTCTTTGTTCTACCTCGTTTTGATTATATACACTGATATTGAATCTATTTTGTCTTTCACTTAGGAGCGAGGGAGATTCACTTCTGAAAAGAGAGATGGAGTTACCTATGAAGTATTTATAATCAAAGATTATGATAATCTTGAGCCTTAATTCCTAGGGAATAATACGTATATGAAGGAACTATTAGAAATACAAAAGAGGGCAGACTTTTTTAAGGCCTTCAGAACAGGGAGAACTTGCTCTCTCTTTTTCACAGGCATCTGTTAAGTTGTTGTAGCAGACAGGAATTCAGCACTTAGCAGAAAATGCTAAGGGAGCATTGAACTGAGTCTTGTATTGTATGCCGCAGCTTGCTCACATTCTACCCCTCCTTTGGGTCTCTGCTAGGGCTGTGTAAGGAGGGCAGAATCTTTGAGAGCACACACACAGAGTCTTTGAGAACACACATGGAGGAGCCCAGTGGATGCATGTCTCTGGGTAGAAGCCATGTGAGCTATTCTTGGCACACAAAGAACTGGGAAAACACCAGGATTTGTCTCCCTGATTAGCTTTATGCTACCCAAACCCATTAAATTTCCATTCTCCTTTTCTTCCTATTTCTTCCTCCTCATTTTTCCTCAGCCACTTATGGTCTCTGGACTTTCCTCCTTTCCCTCTCTTTTTCAGGCTTCCATCATTGTCCTTCTTCTGTTCCATCATTCCTCCTTCTTTTCCTGCTTCCCTTCACTTGCTGCTCTGTCTACTTCTAACATATCTTACTGCTGTCCCTTTTATTTGTTTATTTTTCTTCTCTTTTTTAATTGATGTATAATTTATATATTACATTAGTTTCAGGTGTACGACATGATGATTTGATATTTGTATATATTGCAAAATGATCACCACAACAAGTCTAGCTAACATCTGTCACCATACATTACTATCCCTTTTTTATTTATTTATTTATTAATTAATTTATTTTTCCTCCAAAGCCCCAGTAGATAAGTTGTATGTCACAGCTGCACATCCTTCTAGTTGCTGTATGTGGGATGCGGCCTCAGCATGGCCGGAGGAGCAGTGCGACGGTGCGTGCCCGGGATCCGAACCCGGGCCTCTAGTAGCAGAGTGCAAGCACTTAACCACTAAGCCACGGGGCCGGCCCCTGCTGCTAGCCCTTTTAAATTGCTATTATAATTATTATAAATTTCCTCCTCCACAGGTTTCATGTCTTGAAGAACTTGTTTTGGCCAAAAGAGCTCACCTGTGGAGTGTGAGTGAGGGGAGAATAGCTAAATGGCAAGGGTAGTGTCGCTTAGAGTGGTGGCTTTCACACTTTTTGACAGTGAGGCACAGTAAGGAAAACAAGATACATCGCAGTATATACCCTGCCGTTCCCATGAAGAACTGAATAAAAGTTTCTTGTAATGATATCTATTTTTTATGCACTTGTCTTTTTTTTCTTTCCTTTCCTTTTTTCTTCTCTTCTATTAAAAACATCTGTTTACAATCTGCTTTGTGAGCTACAGAATCTCTGTTTGCTCAGAAAATTACACAGAAGCTAGAGAATTACATGTAGTGACTCTAGTTAAGAACAGGATGAACATACCAAGATAAATTTGTTATATCATTCCAACAGAGAAAGCCAAATTCCAGTCTTGCTTAGTATGCTATTCAATTGTAAAGCATTTCTAAGTCTATTTGAATAAGCCATCAAAGCTGAGCTGTGCAAACTTTGCCAAAATTTTAACATATATCATTTCTTCTTTTCAGATTCATTATTTGAAGTTATATACATCACTGAAGCAAATAGAATACACTTCCTGAAAACCATCTACAGCTTTCTATAGCCATTCAGTTTTGTCTCTTACTACCCTCTTTCACACTCTGGAATAACATTTTATCTTCAGATAAATGTACCCTTTTTTCCCCTTAATAAACAAAACCAGATCCTATTACTTGCTAGTAAGTAATATTTTTTGGTCCTGTTACTTCTAGTACAGTCTTCGCAACTTGTATTACTTATTATTTTTAACCAACATAACCAATTTCTATTTCACTGAGAGTTCTTGAAGGTAACTGAGAATTGTCTGTCATATACAACCATTTTAGTAAACCAGCAGAGCTCATGAGCACACTACATATAACCCCCAACAGACACCCCCATCCTACTTACCCCTTCTTACAGGCAGTAGATTTTACTCTTAAAGCAGCAAAAATGAACACATTCAATACCTTGATCAAAAGATACAGATACTTTGTAAAGATAAAAGTAGTCACATGTACACACACGTGCACACACACGCATGGTGACCAATGTTTCAATATTCAATCTTTTTTTTTTTTTTTTGTTGAGGAAGATTAGTCCTGAGCTAACATCCATTGCCAATCCTCCCCTTTTTGCTGAGGAAGATTGGCCCTGTTGTCACAAATGGCTGGATTTCGTCGGGTATAATGCAAAGTGAAATAAGTCAGAGGGAGAAGGCCAAATACCGTATGATTTCCTTCATTAAGTAGTAGATAATAACAACAATAAACAAACACATAGGGACAGAGA